TTATATAATATGATAATATAGATATACAGACATCTATACCTATGATAGAGGTATACTGAAGTACAGGTGGGTTTAAACTGGTCGTTACACTCGTGTCCTGTTACCATACGCGTTGTATTTGAGCATATGTCTAACATATATGTGATTACCGAATATGTATATTTATACGGAATCCTCAGTACAGGGTGTTTATACTCACCGGAACACTCTCAAGATATTTGAAGGTTACTAATCCATCGTTCGTACGATAATTCGTTGATGACATGGAGTTCAATTCAGACAGCCGTGCTTGCTTGAAGTCCTGGATGACGTCAAAATACTTTTTGTACTTGTCCTTGCTCACAGAGCCCACCGATACAACCAATATGGGAATGGCTGCCTGGCTGGCTATGGTATCGCTCATGTCTAACGCAGACATGGTGGTTGTCTTCGTACTGGGGTACGTCTACACTCTATGGAAGACTCGCGCTCAGCAGATGGTAGTCATGCACTATTTATTTATCACTAAAATATCTATCTCTCATTATAAATATGCAACACCAAAATTAGCTTTTCTAGGGTTTGTATACAGTTTATTCAACAAAGGGCAACAAGATTTATATATATAAATATATATGAATATATGTCCTATTTTCAGAAAGCAATGATATATAACTATAAATTTAAAAAATATATATACCATCGCCTTCTAAATTATACACATATATAAATATTTATCGTATAGCCTATACAACCACTGATCGAATAATCTCAGAATATACAAACACATAGGTTTATTCTTGAGGATAATAAAACTGAAAACCAATAAATATACTAAAACCACGATCGACAGAAATAAAACCAAAGCCTGTTTTCTTCTTCTCTTTGTATTTATAATTTAGAGGGCTATATTCTTGATTTTTGTTTTTTAAAACGAATCCCTTGTGTTGAGAGTTGACTGTTGAGCAGAGACTTGAGATTGAAGTTGAGAGTTTTCAAGTACTTGAGTTATGAATAGTGGAGTAGTAAGCACTGTTGGACTACATTGATGAATATTTTTTTTAATATTTTTTATTAAAACAATATAAAAGTTTACGCAAGTCACGACTCACGACTCACGAGTGACGCATCACTTTAACAGTCAACGACCTCTCTGATCTTTCACAATTTGTGCAGTATGTACATATGTACATACTCAGAGTCTCAGGACTCAGAGTCATCCGATACAGGATACTGTACGTACTGTCACTTCTCTAAGTTTTTTGTTTTGTTTTTTTAAACAAAAAACAAAAACAAAGTAGTACTGCTTTAAAAATACTACATGCTACAGTCTACACTACTGACCACAGTTACAGTCTACAGTCTACACTACACTCTACACTCTACAGTGACTATAATACACTGAAAACTGACCCTCTCTATTTACAGTCTACAGAGTACGTAGTTCGTACTGTACCGAGTATCAACTACAGAGTACAGGCTCCAGACGAATAAACGTCTATTCTATATATGTACCATTGGGATTTCAACTGAGTGTAATTCTCCATCGAGCAGTGTATCCCTTTTATTTACGTTTTTATAACAAAAAAACGCATAAAGTTCTACAATCGGGGGGATATTTTTTTGCGATTACGTTAGACGTTTATTCTGGAATTAACGCTGGGTTACGAGTCTCACTGTTGACTCACTGACCGACTGACTGTGGCACTGTGCTTGTCTGCCTGATTTGCTGATGTGCTCTATAAAATAAAAGGATTTTTTTTAAACCTAGGGGAATTACTTTGAGACCATAAAAAGAGAGCTGCTAAAATAGACCAATCAAATTCAACATGACAAACAATCTATTCACCCTTGAGTTATGACTCATGGTTTGTGGATACCAGAGCAACCTTACTACGGCAGAGTGAGCAGACCCAAATATTGTAATGGGGTGCAATATCTTTGTGTTAAAATTACTACCTATTATCGAACAGGCGTTTGAATTTTGCACCAATCTCGGCCTAATTTCAGCCCAAAACTTGTGTCAAGTATTTGCCAGGTGGGACAAAATGGAGATCTACTGCACAAACACATTTCCCGATATGCACCAATAATATTGCTTTATAACTTCACTTTTGCAAGCGAAGTCACTGTACATATGCACTGTCAATCGCTAAATATATCATACAACCATCAGAACAAACTCAGTGCTTCATCATATTCATCAACGTAACGTTGTACTTAGATGATCAATCCATATCTCCTATGTTGAGATAGGAAACAGCAGACATCGCATTAGAGTGATCCTATATATCTACGCAATCAGTCACAAAACATACCACTACAAATTTGCAGAGCTCAAGTTGCTTTGTGTGGCGAGCTCGCTCAGTAGCTTGAAACGTTTGGGTCCACTCAGATATACCGTATAAACATATATAAGTAGTGAAGCATCGCGCACGCTACCTACCATATAAATAGCTAAGAACGCCCTATTTGGTGCATATAAAATGGTGGAGAAAAAGTCATCTACTACGGCCAAGGCCTCGAACGATTCTGAAGGAGTATCTATTGTAGATGCACGTTGTGAGCATATGAAAAATATGTCGCAACAGCAGGGTCTAGACAATAGCAGCAGAGCACATCTCGAGCACTACGCCCATCTATATACTAAGGTATATTATAAAGACTAGACTCAGCTACGAAAATGAACTGTACGATGTTCCTCTATTTTAATGCGTGAACCGAGTGCGACATGTGCAGCCTCCTTGTGGGTCACTCA